TGTCAGCCTTCAGACTGAAACTACACCCTCCCCTCTCCTGGTTTTCAATCCTTCAGACTGAGACTGGAACTAAGGTTGCTGACTGCCCATCTTGGGACTTGTCAGCCTTCATACCTGTGTGAATCAGTTCCTTGTAATAAATCTGCATATCCATCCATTGATATGCCCATTCTATCTAGATAGACATCCTATCTGGATGGATGGATGAATGGATGGTTAGACAGATCAATAGATTGATCCTACTGGTTCTGTTTCTCTGGAGAACTCTAATACACTGGGTCATAAACCTACACTGATATTAATAATATTAATACAGCTCCTCTGAATGCAATGAATTCTGCTCAAACAAAATCTTAGACAAATTCTCAAGTCCTTTGTCATGGTAGGACAATCTAATTACAAAGTTCATAAGTTTTGATATACACAACTGGTTTAGAATGTCATTTTCCATGTACAGTTCTGAATAATAAATTCAAGATTATGCAGAAGAGATTTCAGAGATTTTTGACATGTAGCGTTTTGGATTTGGGGGATAGGAGAAGGGGAAATGCATCATTTGATTGGGCCCTGAACACTCTGTTGCAAAAGCTGGCAAGAATTCTTTATAAAGAAAAAAATATCAGGCCATTGTGACTAGTAAGTCAAAGATACTTTTATGTTGCAGGCTTGGAGGTATAAGGAAAACAGTAAAAGCATGCACAGAAACATTGTTTATGAAGTAGGAAAAATGGTACAACTCTTTTCTATTTGCTTTCAACAAGCACAGTGCGCCGCAGATAATCACTTGACAGAAACATAATTTAGAAGCAATAATACCATGATGAATCTTTACTGGACACTGTAGCTGCGGGTTTCTACTTTTACCAAATTTGGTTAGAGGAAGTATAAAGTCTTTTCCGGCTTGCCAAGTTCAAATTCTACTATTCTTAAGCTAAGTAAAACTTGTACATGTAAGGGACAAAAATTTCTCAACTCCACAGAGTTCTTTTTACTTAAGTATACTAAAATTCCATTGAACTAAAATTATACATTTTAGTTAAAATGTATAAATACTCCATGCATATACATTCACACACGAACGTGCGCGCACACACACAATTATATACAGACATACGTGCCTCAGTCAAATATGTATCTGATTGTCATTCCTTAACTCTTTATTATTTTTAATGTTTATTTTTGAAAGAGAGAGAGAGTGAGTGCAACTGGGGGAGGAACAGAGAGAGAGAGAGGGGGGTGGGAAAGAGAGAATCTCAAGCAGGTGTGCGCTGCCAGCTCAGAGACCCATACAGGGCTTGACCCCACGAACCGAGAGATCACAACTTGCGCCAAAGTCAGATACTTAACCAGCTGAGCCACCCAGGAGCCCCATGCCTTAACTCTTTAAATTACTGCAGACATACTCATCATAATTCATGACGGAAAGTAGTCTTGTGTTATTTAAGGTGATGTCTTGGATTCTGAAGTTGTCACCGAATAACGGTGATGACAATCATGACAAGGAAGATGCTAATAAATGCTAGCATTTGTATAGCATCTACTGTATGTCCTCCTCTGTTCTAACAGCGTCACATAAATTCACTAACTTAGTCCTCACAAAATTCTCACCAGACAAGTACTCATATTACTCCCGCTTTACGAATGAGCAAAGTGACACACAGGCCACATTCTCTAAGCATGTAAGACACATTTAAAAAAATTGTTTTGCCTTAATTTGCAATATTAAAACTAGATATTCCCTAAATATTTAGGGGTTATATCATGTTATAAACAGTCCACAGAGTATAATCCATATACTTAGAAATGAAGATTATATAACAACGTGGAAAAGCTTACAAGATAATATGAAGTGAAAAATAATCAGAATATAAAATTGCAAAAGAAAAAGAATATAAAATTGCGTGTCACACTGATCACAACTATATAGAAATCACTCATGCAGTGCCTGGGTGGCTCGGTCGGTTAAGTGTCCGACTTCGGCTCAGGTCATGATCTCACGGTTTGGAGTTCAAGCCCCGTGTTCAGCCCTGTGCTGACAGCTCAGAGCCTAGAGCCTCCTTCGGATTCTATATCTCCCTCTCTCTCTCTACCCCTCCCCCACTTGCGCTGTCTCTATCTCTCATAAATAAATAAACTCAAAAAATTAAAAAGAAAAAAAAAAAGACATCAGTCATGCACACAACCAAGGGCTAGCAAACGTGCAACACAGTGTAGGACCCGCGGCTCCTCCAGGAACTCTCTGCCTCTCCTTCCTCTCGCTGACGAGCTGAGCTTGTGCATGACAACCTCCCCAGCTCGTGCTGAACCCGGACAATCTGGCTTTCACCAGCCATGGTCTTGGACTGGAGTCGCCACTATGAGACCCCAAGTCCAAAGGCTGTTTTCTTCTCATCCTCCACCATCTGTGCAGGGCGCATATGCTTTGTTACCAGTAATGGCCTTTTTCCAGATATTCTCAAAAGCATCGGTTGGATGGATGATGCCTCCTTCACTGGTTCTTCCCCTTGCTACCTAAAAGACTTGCTCACACCTCTGACCTCTGTCCCTTGGCAATTGCATCTAATCCAATAGCTGTGATATTTACCTCTATGTAACTGGCCCTTAAATAAAGTGAACCCCTAAGCAACACAGGCAAGTGCTCAAACGCCTGCTACACATCTCCACATAGAGTTACCCCAGCAACCACTGGTTATGGTAAGTTCTTCAGTCTTCCCACAATCAGACTGGATCTCCAGACTCCCATTTCTCTCCACAGCACCCTACTTCGCCCTAGCTCTCCAAGCATGAAGCCTCAATGCCACGTCAGCCAAGGCTCTGTAAAATACAGCTCCAGACTCCCTCCTGCCCATCTCCAACATCTCTCCTAGCTTCCAGAAAAACAGGAACCCATGTTTTGCCACAAACACACCATGTTCATGCCCCATCTATGGAATCTTACTTGAGTTTCAATTCATCCACAAAGTCTTTCTTGGTGACTTCCACTCAGATGTTTTTCTCCACCTTTAAAATCTTTGTATCACTTACCTTTCAGGTTTCATGTTGCAGTTCTCATGTTTGATGTTCTTACATTGAACCCTGAAACTGATGATAGTTTTAACATACACCATAGGGTTCAACCCGATTCTTCTGTTGCTTTGAGCAACACCCCCGCCCCCCCCCCCCCCCACCAAATAAAGAGCAGTGACCACAAAAGCAGGGATGAGTTTTGCTTTTGTGTGTGTGTGTGAGCCTCTGAGAAACCCAGGATATTGGAAGTATTTGTCAAAATGAAAAGAATCTCAATCAGTGTGTATATATATATGTGTGTAAAATGAATCCTCTGTAGCAATTAGTCTAACCCATCAGCTCTAACAGTAGAGGTGAAGAGCTTTAGCACCTGAAACTTCAAAACTCCTGGTAACATAAAATATTTTGGTTCAAGGAACTGTTTTAAAATCATTTATTTGTGAAGGGAACATTCTTGGATTTAGAGGTTGGCAGGTACAGTAAAAAGCTTTTTAGTTGACTGAAATAAAAAAAAAAAAAAACAACTCAAAACACTTTTAAGCACAGGCACTTCTCTTATAAAAACAAACTGCAGAAAGCCAAGCACAGCAGTTTGTGCACAAAGAGCAGGTGCCTCCAGCCATCAGCAAAGAGGCACTGGAGCAGGAGGGGAGTGATTTGCATTTCTATGGCTCCTTTTGTATGCCCAAATTCTGAGAGCATTACACCCAGAGACAGTAAATATAATTAGCAGAAGACAGCAAAGAGAGGATGTCATTGCCAGAGGGGCTCCAGGTCAACAGGCACAGCAGCGCCCCCCAGAAAGCTGTAAACAGGAGTGCCATTCGTCTGTTCTGGTGAAGACAGGGGAGACGTGTGTGTGTGGGGGGGATCCTTCAGCTTGACCCTACCGTCCACAGAAGGCATGTGCTATTCCACGCTTTCACAAAGAATGATTTCAATCCCGTGTTGAACGCTATTTGCTGGCTTCCCCAACCCACTTCTAGATGAGGGCACTGTTCATCATGCGCTTTAACCACCTCTCCCCTTCCTCCTACAGAAATCGCCCCGGTGGATGAAACACCCAGGTGAAAGGATAGGAGGCTTTAAGAGTACTAGGAGCAGTGTGGCTCCAGGAGAGGACACCCGCTGCTCACTGGCTGTCAGCGGCCTATTCTCGGGAACATTTTACTGACGCTTAGAGAAATTAAACACGAAGGTGGACTTTTGCCATGCTTCTGTCTTCCTGCACCACCAGCATGGAAACAGATTTTTTTTTTTTCCAACGTTTATTTATTTTTGGGACAGAGAGAGACAGAGCATGAACGGGGGAGGGGCAGAGAGAGAGGGAGACACAGAATCGGAAACAGGCACCAGGCTCTGACCCATCAGCCCAGAGCCTGACGCGGGGCTCGAACTCCCGGACCGCGAGATCGTGACCTGGATGAAGTCGGACGCTTAACCGACTGCGCCACCCAGGCGCCCCTGGAAACAGATTTTGATGGGCCCGGGAACCCCGTTGCGAATGGGGGCCCTGAGCCCCAAGCCTCCTCGGGGAGCCACAGCCGCAGACTTGTGACTATCCTCCAGGGGTCACACTTGGGTTACGAATCCCTTGCAGCGCACTGACTGAGCAGCCTGATTGGGAACAATTTATTCGAATCCTTCTTCATTAAGATTCAAATGGAATAAGTAAGGTAGAAATTGAACAGACACAGAAATTGTGCCTTCCTGCTCCCGTAGTCAGTAAACATTTATTCGCTAAGCCCAGGCTGTGTGTTCTCTCTCTCTCTCGCTCGCTCACTCACTATCGTTCTTTCAATCCTTCCTGCTTGCTGTTTTAATGCATAATTAAGAAGGTCAGAATTAATGAAGCGGTGTGGAGTAAAGTTCAAGGAATCCCCAGGCACTATTTATTCTATTAGAGCTCAGGCATGAATGTCAGCTTGGCAGAGAAAGCGGCATTAGCCATGGGGCTGGCTGCATCCCAGAAACAACCAGCAAGGGAAACTCACCTGCACAGTCAAGTCATCCCTAAGCTCCTTCCCGGCGAAAATCACACGCAACTGGTCAGCTGGAACCCCCTGTCGCTTAGCAACCACCTCCTTGAGCTGGAAGATGCTGGTGTCAGAATCGACTTCCACTGGGAAACCATGGCTGGAGTTGAACCTGACAAACACTGACCAAGACATGGAGGGGGGCGGGGGGGGGGGGAGAAGTGAACATTACTCAAAGCTCTGACATGGCAACAGCAACATTTCTGAACTGAGTTCTCTCTCACCCGCCCCTTTGAGGAATGGCATACATTTTCTTTCACTTAGAACAGAAACCTTAATGCAATGGGGCAATACCTGAAGAAAAATGGAGCTTCCCTGTGGGATTTCCCTTTCATATATTAGTCAGTGACCCTCAAACACAGTCACATGCTCCCTTTGACAGCCATCCTGGGAAACAAAGGACTCACACAGAACACTTGCTAGATAGGAATTGTGAGATTCCCGAGAGTTTATGGAAGAGATTCAGCTCTGACAGCATGTATGAACATGCATTCCCTCCCCGGTGCCCCCCTTCATGAGCACCAGAAGTGTTATGTTAGCACTCACAGTATAGCAATGGAAATAATTCAAGCCATGTTACAGACTAGAGTGAAGGCCCACCCGAGGCTGTGTCTAGGAGCCCTTGGCATTGAGGTCCCTTTCAAAAGGTTCCACTGGATCTTATGGAGATACTTCCCTTTTCTTTTGAAACTACTGAGACCATCTATTTTTTTTTTAAGTTTATTTACTTTTTTTGAGGTGTGGGGGAAGAGAGGGAGAGGGCAGAGAGAGAAGGAGAGAGAATCCCAAGCAGGCTCCACACTGTTAGTGTGGAGCTCGACACAGGGCTTGAACCCATGATCTGTGAGATCATGACCTGAGCCAAAATCAAGAGGCAGATGCTCAACCAGTGGAGCCACCCAGGTGCCCAGAGACCATCTTTCTTATTGGAGCCTCTACCCCCTCACAACCAAGGCTGGGACCTGCTGTCTCTGCATGCCCTCTCGTCACTGTCTACTGCCATCCTGACCTCATCAATGTCACCCACATGTCCTTTCCTGTCCATGCTTTCTGTCACTACTCTCAGTCAGTCTTCTCTAGATTCTAGCACTAGCTTCCCAACTGGAGTCTCGCTACCCTCTCTTCACTTCCAAAATGTCCCGTACCATTCTGTAAAGTAAGCCTTTCTTCAAGTGTTGCCCCATTGCATTAAGTGAGGCTTATCAGTCCAGAGCTCTGACTTGAATCCTTTAAAGTCTCCCACTGCCAGGGAGAAAAACCCAAGGTCCCTCTTATTTGACACAAACCTATATCCCAGCAGCTTCTCCGTTAATCCCCACAAGCACACTGCTAAACTGAATGCTCCAGAAAACTTCTACACCCATGCCTTGCCTTTATTCCTGCCAGTCCCTTCTTCACCCTTGCCTGATGAAAGCTGGGTCACCACATGATCTGCCTCAAACATTCCTCTTCCAAGAGGACTCTCACTATCACCCCAGTCAAGACAGAGCCACCTCTTCCAGGCTCCAGTGGATTTACCGCATACCTCTTACACTATTCTACATTCTCTCATGGAAGGCACAGAGCACCGAGGTTATAAGGACACCCTCCAGAGTCCGAAGGACCCCTATTAGTTCTCTTACCAGCTTAGCATATGCGGAGAACATATTACCCCTATAGCTTTAACTCTCAGTTCCCTAATCGTCACAGTAAGTAAACCATGGAGGGTGTCCTATGATGTGTTAAGTAATATTGATAGTGTTTACCACTGTTACATAATTACCTTCAAAAATAATGAATGTTTGTATGTCTTACATGTTTTTGGTATATATTTCACCTTCTCTAAAAGATCATAAACATCTTAAGGCTAAGGCCAGCCACTATAGCTTCTTTTCTGCTGTATCTCCTTTAAATGTACCATTATCACTTACTAGCTCCCAATTCAAATATGAGATGGCCCAACTAATAATAATTAAAATAAAATGATAATTACAATGCCAATAATAATCGAACACGTACTATGTGGCAGAAGCTGTACCTTATATAGGCTATTTTTAAGCTTTCCAATGATCTGGTAAGGTCAGTATTATTATCCTTATCTAACAGAATAGTAAATGGAGTCCTAGAGAATTGTAATCACTTTTCTAAGGACATCAGCTGCTTTGTAATGGAATCACAACTCAAATTCAGTTCAATCAAATTCTAAACCCCATTCCATTTCTACTATAACAGGCTGCCTAAAATATTCTCAGAAGAAAAGTCCACATTCCTTCTCCTTATGACAAAAAAGACAAACAACAACAGCAAAGAGGCTTTATAACCTAATTCAGGTATTCCCTATACATGTTAGCAGTAGAAAATGCGATTAAAAAATAAAGGCTCCCATGAAGAGCTAAGAGCCAAGAATAACGAACAACGTTATAAGACACCATAAGATAAAAATGACACCAAAACGAGAGCAGGTGCTGTACATGACACACAAGAACAAAAACCTGACATATTTTACCTGGCACTGAAAACTATTCAGAAAAAGTATGGACTAGGGGCGCCTGGGTGGCTCAGTTGGTTAAGCGGCCGACTTGGGCTCAGGTCACGATCTCACACTCCGTGAGTTTGAGCCCCGCGTCGGGCTCTGTGCTGACAGCTCAGAGCCTGGAGCCTGTTTCAGATTCTGTGTCTCCCTCTCTCTGACCCTCCCCCATTCATGCTCTGTCTCTCTCTGTCTCAAAAATAAATAAACGTTAAAAAAAATTTTTTTAAAGAAAAAGTATGGACTAGAAGTGACAAAAGTCTTCCTAATAAAAAAAAATTGATGAAAAAAAATTACAGAGGAAAAGGAGCTTTTGATAAACTTTTAAGTACACGTCATGTGACACGGTTGAAGCAGAGGAGGGGAAATAAAATGTCTTGGGAGGCCTGGAGGTGTATTCACAGCATCCTCAGATCAGGGACCATAAGGCAACCAATTCATCAGAAAAGATAGGAGACCGGTGTGGGGCAATAAGGCACAAAAGGTATGGTCCCAGCTCCAAACATGATTTTATAGGAGTTTGAATAGACTTTTTTTTTTTTTTTGCCGAAGACCATGGGAGGATATGGGAAGAAGCAACCGGGGACTACACAAAAGCTCCTAAAATGAAAAAAAAAAAAGTAATAAAAATTCCAGGATACCCTGAGTTGGTGATTTTTCTCCATGGGTTCTCATCATGGGCATTCCATCTTAAAAACAAGAATTACACAACAAAAAAACAAGCAAAACTAAAGGGCAAAAAAGCTGTAAAAAACATACTAGATAATTCTGTACCACAACTCAAATCATTAGTGTCCAAAGGCTTTAAAACCATTTTTGTTTTTTACATTTATTTATTTTTGAGAAACAGACAGAAAGCGAGTGGGGGAGGGGCAGAGACCGAGGGAGACAGAATCTGAAGCAGGGCCACTCAGGTGCCCCTGAAGGCTTTTTTTTTTTCTTAACTAGAAGAGCTAAATTCACTTTTCTTCTTTTTTCTTTCTTTCTTTCATTTTTTCTTTCTTTCTTTTTTCTTTTTTTCTTTTTTTTTTTTTCTTTTTTAAGTAGGCTCCATGCCCAGCCTGGGTCTTGAATTCAGGACCCTGAGATCAAGAGTAGCATGCTCAAGCGAATGAGCCAGCCAGATGCTCCAAGGCCTTTTTCTTATTCTGTATAAGTAGATAAATTATAGTTTCTGAGCTTACATTCAATTTGGCTAAATCATGTCAGTACTTTAGAAATGAGTATTTTTGAGCAGCAGTTCAGACATAGAGGACAAACTTACAATGGAAAGACTGACCAAATGCACTGCAGGTATTAAGCAAACTAAAATATTGTCATGGAAAAGAACAGACACTTTAAAGCGACCCAGTCATCAATAATCAAGTGCCATTAAGAAGAAAATGGTTAGGGCTTAATGGCAGTAGTGTGATTTGTGGTGGGTCACCATCTTCTTCTAGCACATGTGAGAAATGTGTCATGACCCTTCTGTCCTGGTCCTGGAACCCCAAGATTCCCAAAGGAGAGGAGAGGAGGAACACATCCAACCCTCTCTCTCTGCTACTTCTTGAAAAGCTACAGGAAGAATATCTTTAGGGCCAGGAAAGGAAAAACCAGAATCCTGGTTGTGTCACTTGCTAATATTATGACTTAGGACAAGTTACCTGGTCACCTTCTCTCAGCTTCCTTATCTGCTAAATGAAGATAATGTACGCAGTCTTAAATGTTCATTACGAAAGATTTGTTGCAATTGTGGATGCATTAGGAAATTCTGGGCAGAGTCCTTGGTACACATCCTGTACTCTTTCTACAGGGCAAGCTTGTACTCCAAAACTGTTCCCTAATTTTACTCTTCTAGAGGAGGTAGTGCTAATTAAAGTAGCATCGATTCTTTATATTGTAACGAAGATACGTTAAATGGGGTAGGGGTATTTTTCTGGTTTCTGCTCCTCTTCATGATGGACACAAAACTGCCAGGGTCAAAGAGACCATGATAAAGAATTTAGCATATGTCCTTTTCTAAGATCTCATTATAAATTAAAAGTTTGGGAATGAATTGTTTCAATGACACCTATAATAGCATCAGAAATAAATACTATATCAATTAACATTATGAATAATGTATATTATTAATAAACACCGTAATGCACTGTTAAGGAAAAGATAATGAGACACATCTACACTCATTTTGATGCCATCCCTAACCAATGTTCAGAAGATCATTGTATAAGGATAAGGAAGTAACTAAGAAGAAAAAGGGGAAGGAGTCGTTGGGTGATGGGTGCTTATGTTTCTCTCATCCTCCCTGTCACAGTGATTGGCTCAAGGATAGGCATAAACCAGCCAGTGCCTGGCTTTCCCTTAGTCTCAGTGATTGACTTCCTGGAGATCTTAGAAGGGGTGATCTAAAGTGGACAAATCAAAGAGAATTCCAGATTTGTCAGAGACATGGTGAACAAGTGGTTTTAGCTGGCAGGGAGGCCCAGATTTCTGTGCTGAGAAAATCAAATAAAAACAGAGCCCAAGATAGACCATTGTCATCTGTATAAAAGTAGGCTCAGTGCTTTGGGAGCAAGACAAGTCTTCCTCAAGAGAAAATGTCCTACGCCCTGCAGAACATGTAGTTCCAGCCAC